TTTTTTGTTTTTAATATTAATAATTATATAATAAATTATATTTAAAGTTTTATAATTAAGTATTTTATTTATAAAAATTATATTTCCTTATTATTATTTTAATAATATAATTAAATAATTATTAATTTAAATATTATAAATTTAATTTAATATATTTAAAGTTATATTTTAATTATTTATAATAATAATTTTATTTAAATTCTTTTATTTTTTTCTTTTTCTTTTTATATAAACCTTATATTATATTAAGTATTTTATATTAAAAATAAGTTTAATTTTAATATTTAATATCTTTTATATTAATTATTTAATTATAATCCTTTATAATATTTTTATAACTTTTAATATAATCTTTATTTATTTTTATATTAATAATAATAATAATAATTTATATAATATTTATAAATAAGCATTAAAATTAAAAATATAAAGATTAACTTATTTAACTTAATAACATTATTAATAATTTTTTTAATTATTTATAAAATAATACTATTATTTATATTATTATATAATTTAATATATAAAATTTATATATTTATTTAAAGGCTTAATAATATTTTTTAATTTTTATAATAAATTAATATATTTTTATAAATATTTATTTATATTTAATTCTTATTATTTATGCTTTTAAATAAAACTTTAAGGATATAAAATTTATTTTTATATTATATTTAATAACTTTTAATAATTTTTAAAATATATTAATTTAAAATATTTATAATATTTATTATATAATTTAAGTTTAAAAATAACTTTTTATATAATTAAATTAGCTTAAAAAAAGCAAATTTAAAAACTTTTTTATAAGCTTTAATTATTATTATATTTAAGTTATTTTTTAAGAAACTTTTAACTTATTAAGCATTTAATATAAATCCTTATTTAAGTTTTATATTTTTATTTTTATAAATATTATTATTATTTAATTTATATAATAATATTAATAATTAAGGTTTATATTAAAATATATTTTAATTTTAAGATATATTATTATAAATATATTAATTTAATTTATAAATTAAAAGTAATAAAACTTAACTTAATTTTTAAATATTTAAGGAAATATTATATAAAATTAATTTAGCTAAATTTTAATATAATAATAAATATTAAAAAGTATTTTTATATTATAATTTAATAAGTTATATAAATTTTTAATATATTTGTAAAAATTATTAAAGGTTTTTATAAATTATATTAACTTTATTAAATTTAAATGCTTATTAATAATATATTATAAAAAAAAGCCTTATATAAATTATACTTTTTATTTAATAAAAGCATTTTTAAGGTAGCTTAAAATTATATTAAATATAATATATATTTTTAATATAAGCTTTATTTTTATCTTTTTATTAATAATAATAAGCTTTGCTAATTATATTAATTTTTAATAAATTATAATATTAAATTTAAATTTTATAATTATATATTTAAAGTTAATAATAATAAAAGTTATTTTAAAAATTATCTTTTTTATAATTATTATTATTTAAAGCTTATTTATAATGCTTATAAGGATTATTTTTATAATTATTATAATAATATTTATTTATATTTAAGTTTAAGGTTAATAAAGTATTATAAAGCTTAATATTAATTTATTTTAACTTTTTCTTAACTTAAGCTATAATAATTAATTATAATATTATAAATTAATTATAATATTTTATATAAATACTTTATATTAAAAGGAAAACCTTTAAATATTATTAATAAGGATTTAATAATATTTTAAATATTATTTATATTTATATTATATAATTTTTATAATAAGTAATAAAAAGGATAATATTATAAAGATTGTATTATATATAATTTATTAAAATATTTATTTAATAAATAATTAAGTATTTTATTAATACTTTTTATATAAGAGTTATAAATTATAACTTTAAATTAATATATTTATAATATATTAAGTTAATTAAGGTTTATATAAGCATTTTATTAATTATATACTTTTTAATAAAAATTAATAGCTTTTTAATATTATTACTTATATTTATAAGGTTTTATAATAAATATTATAAGGAATAAAATTAAAGAAATAAAAAGGTAATATTAAAATAAATAATATTTAATAAAGTAAATTAATAATAATAAATTAAAAGTTATAATTATAAGAAAAAAAAATTATTAATTTTTTTAAGCCTTAAAAGCTAAGAATTTTCTTTTATTATTAAGTTTTTTTATATTAATTAAAAGCATTTATAATTTATATTTATTTATAATATAATATTATATTAATTATAAGCTTTATTTATTAATAAAATAAAGTTTTATTAAGTTTTATTAAGTTTTAAAAAAAATTAAAAATAAATTTATTTTTAATAAAGTTTATATATAATAAATATATGTAACGTAGTTTATTAGGAAGTGGCGGATATTAGGAAGTAGCGGATTTTCCCAACTTTAGTTAACTTTAACAAGCCCTAACACCCACTTAATGTAAATTATTTAATTAAATTTAGCATTAATTAATATTAATTACATTTAAATCCTTATTTATAATTAATTTTATTAATTTAAAGGCATTAGCGTAATTATAATGCTAATTTAAATTAATTAACTTTTAATAAGAAATATGCATTTAGCATTATTTAATGCTAACTATACTCTTAAAAAAACGGTTTGCCATAAACTATTAATATATATATATTTGCATTAATTAATGCTAATTAGGCTGGATTTATTATAATATAGTTAAAATTTAATTAAATAAACCTTTCTTTATCTTTCTTATAAGTTTTTGCATTATATTTAATCTTACTATAATTGCTATATTATCTTTTAATTAATTTACTATAAATTAATTCCTTAATATTATTACTTATTTTATTAGCTAATTGCTTCCCCTTTTATTTTTTTTAAATAAAAGCTTAAGATTTCTTAATTATAAGTGCTTTTCTAAGCTGCATCTAAATTATTTTAGCCCTTTAACGTTTAATAAGTATTATATTAGCCTCCTTAAGAATATAAACTTAATTTTTTAAAATAATAAGTTTATATATTATTATTTATATGCTTTTTGCTATTTAATTAATAGCCTTTATAATTAATATAAGGAAGCTTTTTTAATAAGTAGAGATTTTATTTTTAATAAAACTTAATTGCTTAATGATTTATTAAGCATTTAATAATATTTAAAACTTTTATTTTTAAGGAGAAATAAAAAGGGATTATATAAAAGTTTATAAGCGGATATTAAGCTTAGAAATTATAAAATTAAGGTCCTAAAAGGAAATTCTAGCTTTTTTAAATATAAACTTAATATTTTTTGCTATAAAAGTTTTATTATAAGCTGCTTTAAATATAAAAAAAAAGTTAAATTTAGTAATATAATTAATAAAGGCTTAAATAAAAAAGTTAATTTAATTGCTATATATATATATTTTAAAGATAAATATAATATAATATTTAATAGCTAAAGTAAGTAAAATAAATGCAATAATATGCTAATAATAATAATTTTATTATTCTTATAATATTAATTAAATTTAATTAATATATAGCTTTTATAATTATTTATAATTAATATTTAATTTAATATGCTTATTAAAGTATTAAATTTATTTTAAATTAATTTTATTATTTATTTATTTATTAAAAATAAGCTTAATAATTTAATTATTTAAAAAACTTAACTTTATTACTTAGCTAATAAGGTAATAAGCGCCTTAAATAATTATAAATAATAAGATTTATAAGCTACTTATATTAATATATTTAATAATAATTATTTATTTTTAATTATTAAGTTAAATTAATTTAGCCTTTTTATATTTATTAATATATATAATAATTATTAATATAGTAATTATGCTTATTATAAAGCTAATTTTATTAAAGTTATAAAGATTATTATTAATAATTTAATACTTAGCTATTATATTATAAAGTAGTTTAAATTAGTTTTTAATAATCTTTAAATCTTTATAAAGGGCCCTTTAATAATTATAAGAATAATTAAACTTAATTTTTAAGCTAAGTTATAAATTTATAAAGCGTTAAGCTTAATGCTTATTTATAAATTTAATATTATGCAATATTAATAAGAAATTAGCCATATCTTTTATATTAAAAAGTTATAAGGGAAATCCTTAAATATCTTACTTAATAATATATTAAATAAGCATTTATTCTTTAATTTAATTAAGTTTATGTTTATTAATGCATAATTCTTTATATAAGTATTATTAATTTATTTTATAATATAATATAATTTTAAGGATATAAAAAATGCTAATAGCTTAGGTTATAAGTATAAGTTTTATATTATTTTTTTTTAAGTTTTTAATTATTTATATAGCTAAAAGAATTTGTTTTCTTTAAATAAAGGATATATTAATAATTATTAATTTTTAACATATTAAATATTTAATTAGGCGGATTAAAGTAAGATTAATATAAAAAATTAAGATGCAATTTATATTAAAATAAATCCCTTTTATTAAAAGTTAATTATTTTAAACTTAAATATAACTATATTAATCCCTTTAAATTAATAAAATTAATTATAAATAAGGATTTAAATGCAGTTAGCATTAATTAATGCTAAATTTAATTAAATTATTTGCATTGGGTGGGTACTAGGGCTTGCTAAAGTTGGCTAAAGTTGGGAAAATCCGCTACTTCCTAATATCTGCCACTTCCTAATAAACCACGTTATAAGTATTATAAGAAATATTAATTAATTTATTTAATTTTTATAATATTTATTTAAAAAGTTTAATAATATAAAAAGACTTAAGAAAGTAATTATTATTATATAATATTTATTAATAAGGAGGATATAATTCTTAAGTTAAGGAAGTTTTTATAAGGTTGCCTTTTTTATTTTATTAATTTATAATACTTATAATTATTAATTAATATTAATAAGTTTCTTATATATATAATAATTATATGGGGAAGTAATTGTTTATTAGGTATTGTTTTTATTTAAGTTTTAAGAGGCTACGTGCCCCTATGGGGATAACTAAAGTAGCCGTTTAAGGGTGAGGGTTGTACTTGCCAACAGAGAATCTGCGGGGACGCGTCGTCAAACCCAGGATTGAGGTTACTCAATCAGGATATGTGGAAGGTTGAATGTTAAGCTGATACTTAAGTTGGACTATTTCTCATTCAAGCCTATCTATAAGCCGCGACATGAATCGCGTGGAGGTAAGTCTTGCGCGTGGAAGCGTGCGCTGTGCTCCCACGAATGTTTTAGATGACCGATTACTCTGTAAGCAGGAATTGTCTTACAGAAAGGGCAGGCCATGAGGTTACGCGAGATAGACGGGATTCGACAGTGAACACACTGTTCCCATCTCATGTGGAGCAAACACAGCGCAAGGGTAAGAGATCGAAAATTGCGGCCATAAATATTCTTTCAGGCCTGACCACCTACATGTAGAATTGCAGAGCTATTGCATGGGCCCAATCATCACGAAGCCGACTGCTGTGTCCGACAATGTCTATAAATAACCTATTGCAATACTTGCTTCCACGGCCGCGCAGCTGAACAGCGCATTACGCGGCTCGCAGCCTTGTCTCATCGTTGTTACTGAGTGCCGACGCCGCTTCCAAAGCAGGCTGCGATGCAAAGTCTGGGTACTCGTACTGGCTGCTGTCGAGCTGATCGTGTAGAAACAAGTGTGTCTTGGACATCGTCAAAGCAGAGCTCCTGTCTACGCATATTGAAAGCGGTGATCCAACCCAGCTTGCGACCACGAAGGGACAGGCTGACTGCAAAGCCGACTCTGAAACTTGGTGCTGGTGGAGAACCCTGCAATGGCAAAGAGTTTGGAGCGCTCGATCGGGTGTCGACGGCTGTGGGCTGCGTATTTTCCGGATGCCCGGGGCCGGATGTGGGGCCGAGTGCACGGAGAGGGCGGGGAATTCCCGGGGATGTTGGCGAGGATGCACGGGGGAAGTCAGAAGCCATGCCTAGAAGCCACGGCTCTTCACAATTCAATCAATCCTACCTGCACTGAGTGTCCAAGTGTGCTGGGGCCTCGCCACTCCTCTCCCCGGCCCCTGGCCAGTCCGCAGCGTGGCCGGAGCGCCGGGGTTGGAGGCAAAGACGGTTCCAGAGCTTTCCTCTGGAGTGGAGCCCCTATTTCTGGTAGAGTCGCGACTTCGCGACTTGGCTCATTGGCAGGGTAATTGGATCTGCTACGATTTGAGAGCAGAGGGAGTTTCGACGAGTCCAGTCGGGAGACGGGCGACGGGCATGCAGACAAGCATAGACGTGGGGGCGTCGAGACAGAGTTTCCGTTCGGCCGGTGGGCTGCTGCCGCTGATGTGTGAGGTAAGTAATTAATTATTCGCCGACGACCCAAGAACGCGATCGATGGACGGGGGACCTGTCACTGTCACATGCTCCAGTGCAGCAACAGAAGGTCAGGCAGTCTTGACTTATCCGAGCAGGAGGCACCCACCCACCTGCTGGTCATCTGCGAACCCGGGAGGACTTGGCCAGCCCCACTTGCACTCTTTGTTTCCGGGAACGTTGCCTTGGTTGTCTCATGATACCGACCATCTGCATCATCTCTCTGCCGTGTGCCATTACCAAGTACGGCGGCGGCGGCGGCGGCGGCAGCAGCAGAAGAAGAAGAAGAAGAAGACGCATACCACCCTCTCCTGCACTGAGAGAAGAAGGGAACAAGAGTTTCTAGCAGGACCATCACTCTGGGGCGCCTGCCTAGGTATAGAGGCACGGATCCAGACCAGCCCATTGGTGGGAACACCGCACGTTGCCTGTGGGAAGCACACGGCCATACCTAGGTAATCTACAGCACACGGCAGGACTACGCTAGACTACCTACCTACCACGACCCGAGGGCAAACTGGACTGGGATCTGCTGGACCGACGCAGGCATCTCGTGCCTTTGCGCCGGGTCACCAACCACAGCGCTTCCCCTGGTCCGAAGATTCCCACCGCAGCACCGCACCACTGCACCAGTGCGTCAGGCCCAAGCCGCCAAACCGCAGCGCCCCGTGGGGTAGACTGCGGTAGACTGCCTCGAGACTGCCTGCCTGCCTGACCCAGCACGTCTGGGAACACCGGACTTGGTAACCTAGGTACGTTGCTCCTGCCCTCTCCTCCCCTGCTCCTGTTGTCTTAGCGACCTTCCGTCCCGTCCACCCTGCCCCCTGTCGTCCTTCCGGTTCTGGACTGTGACAGCTGCTGCTCCAGTCGGCTGGTTGCTGGTCTGCACATCAGCGTCATCCGAACACAGACCCCAGGCCCAAGATCCACATCCAGATAAGCGCGTCCCTCTTCCTCTTTGTGCTGCCTGTCTCTTGGTTGTGGAACCGACTGCTGTACAGCACTTGGGCAACCGCGGACTTTCGGGTATCAGCGACTCGGGGCTGCGCTCGAGAGACTGCCTGGCCAAGGGTTCGCCAGTCTGGCTGGTGGGCGGCGTGGCGAACAAGCAACGTCTTGAAAAACAGCCTCGTCCCTGCCCAAGACCAGCTGGAATGCCGTGCAGTGCTGATGCCTCGTCTATCTACTTGAGCTGTTGGGACATGACATCTACGGCTGGAGGAGCCTTGGCTGAGGTGAACCCATGCGTGCGTGCTGCTGCTGCTGCTCTAGCTGTGCCCCTCTCCAGACCTACCTGCTCTAGCCTCCCCAGCTTTGCCCTGCCCAGCTGCTGACACGCCTGTCCTCTCAAGCCTTATTATATCCCGGCTCGCCCTGTCTCGTCATAGGACGTCGCCCAGGAGAATAAAGTTCTACCCTCACGATACGCGAAGCGTTGCTGGACCTCGCCCTCTTGGCAGTCTGCCGGAATAACAACCTCCCAAGCCGCTTGCTGAACAAGAGCCGACCGCACCAAGGTATGTGCAGTGCAGTATGACAATTCTTACACCCTCTATCCCGGGCTCTCGGCAAATTCCCGTGCATATTGAATTCATTCGGCCCTGCGGAACCGTTTCATGCCTCGTCTGCGCCCCCGCGGGTCTTCGATATACCACCCTCCCTACCCACCCGCATGGTTCCATGCTACTTGGCCGCCCACCTGATCCCCCAGCCAAGTCCGTGTACCTGCTTGCTGCTCGATCCCACATGTCAACGCCATGGGACACGCCTCACCTACCCGCGAGGGGTCCAGTGGGCACCTCTGCTCGCGCTCACTCATCCCACCTTCCCTCCCCTTCCCTCTGGGACCTCTGGGCCCTCTGGGACCTGCTACTACCCGTGTGAGCCGGCAGGTTATATGGACCACGCCCCTGCATGACACGAGGCTTCGTCTCTTCTGACTCTTCCTACATACCTACCTATCCTCCATTACCCCCCAGTGCTGTCACATCTCGAGTGGGAATGCCAGCCTACTACCTTCACGACTGCCATTACTTCTTCCGTACGGCCCTGAGAGGCCTCAACATCAGCACCTCCGTCTCTCCTCTCTACCTCTGAGGACGCTCCAGGCTGACCAAGATGCCTACCCAAGTCCGTATTTTCACCTTGCCCAAGTCTATCGGAGAGACTCTCTCGTCTGCTCCTAGCACGCCGGCTCCTCGTCCGGTTCCTATAAACGGGCACGTACCCAACGGGATCCCTCAGCCGAACCAAGTCCCCAATAGGATGGGTGTAAATGAGAACAGGTCCTACCCGGGCGTCACTTTTGCCCAACAGGATAAGCTGCCAAAGCTGCCAATCCCTGAGCTGGCCGGCACCTGCGACAAGTACTTGGCTGCTCTCAAGCCCCTGCAGTCACCTCGCGAGCACTCCGACACGAAACAGGCTGTCCACGAATTCCTGAGCAATGAAGGGCCTGAGCTACAGGAGAAGCTGAAGAGGTATGCCGAAGGACGGACAAGCTATATCGAGCAGTTCTGTAAGACTTTCCTCTGGTCCATGGGAGGCGTTGCCGTCACTGACAATCACAGGGTACGACTCGTACCTGAATTACGACAACCCGGTCGTGCTCAATTTGAATCCCTTCTTCTTGTTGGAAGATGACCCGACTCCGGCTCGAAACAACCAGGTCACCCGCGCGGCCTCGCTGGTGGTGTCAGCCCTGGAGTTTGTGCGGGCTGTCCGCAAGGAGGAGCTGCCGCCAGACTCCATCAAAGGGACTGCCATGGATATGTACCAGTACTCGAGGCTCTTTGGCACAGCAAGGGTTCCGACCGAGGCTGGCTGCCAGATTGAACAGGATCCCGAGTCAAAGCACCTTGTCGTCATGTGCCATGGGCAGTTTTACTGGTTTGACGTTCTCGACGACAACTCGGACCTCATCATGACAGAGAAGGATGTGTCGATTAATTTGCAGACAATCATCGACGACGCAGCCCAGATGCCGATCCAGGATGCGGCAAAGGGGGCGTTGGGTGTGCTCAGCACGGAGAACAGAAAGGTGTGGTCCGGGCTCCGGGACGTCCTGACCAGAGAAGAAGGGTCAAACAACGCCGACTGTCTCGGGATAGTCGACTCGGCCTTGTTCATTGTCTGTCTCGACTATACGGAGCCTGCCACGGCGTCGGCTCTTTGCCAGAACATGCTCTGTGGAACGAGCGAGATCGAGAAGGGCGTGCAGATCGGCACCTGCACTAACCGCTGGTACGACAAGCTTCAAATTATTGTCTGCAAGAACGGCAGCGCCGGCATCAATTTCGAGCACACTGGCGTCGATGGCCACACCGTCCTCAGGTTCGCCAGCGATGTGTACACAGATACGATCTTACGGTTCGCCAGAACGATTAATGGACAAGCCCCCCACCCTCTGGGCATCAACAAGCCCTGATCCTTCCAAGCGTGACCCTGACAGCTTCGGAGACGTGAACACGACGCCACACAAGCTGGAGTGGGACATGATCCCCGAGCTCAAGATTGCCGTGCGCTTTGCGGAAACGCGGCTCGCCGACCTCATCGAGCAGAATGAGTTCCAGTGTCTTGACTTCCAAGGATACGGGAAGAACTTCATCACGTCAATGGGCTTCTCGCCCGACGCCTTCATCCAGATGGCCTTCCAGGCCGCTTACTACGGCCTGTACGGCCGGATCGAGTGTACCTACGAGCCAGCCATGACCAAGATGTTCTTGCACGGCCGAACGGAAGCGGTCCGGACCGTCTCGGATGAGTCTGTCAACTTCGTGCAGACATTTTGGGCCGACAACCCGGCGGAGCAGAAGGTAGAGGCTCTCAAGAGGGCGTGTCAGACCCATGTGAGCAGCACCAAGGAGTGCGCCAAGGGCCAGGGCTGCGATAGGCACCTGTATGCGCTCTTCTGCCTCTGGCAGCGCCTCATGGACGAGACGGCAGTAAGCGGGAGCACGGGCAGCAGCGGGTACACCTCTCCCGTCGACGGCGCAAGCAGCCCCGAGCCCGGGGCCGCCAGCCCCACCAGGGACTCGGCCGTATCGGGCGACAGTGAGCACACGACGCAGAACATGGTGACGCGGGCGCGGGGCGACAGCACCAACTCCCGCGGGGGGTCGCAGCAGCAGCTGCCGCTCATCTTCGCGGACTCGGGCTGGGACAAGCTCAACAACACCATCATGTCGACGTCCAACTGCGGCAACCCGTCGCTGCGGCAGTTCGGGTTCGGCCCCGTCAGTGGCGACGGCTTCGGCATCGGGTACATCATCAAGGACGACGGCATCGCCATCTGCGTCAGCAGCAAGCACCGACAGACCAAGCGCTTCATCGACACGCTCGAGAGCTACCTGCTTGAGATCCGCCGCATCCTTCGCATCACCAGCCGTCACCATTCGGCGCCCAAGCAGACCCGCGCCCGGGAGATCGACCGCTCCACCCACCATCACCGCAAGCCCACCTTCAACAGGCTCAAGAGCAGGGGCCGCCTCATCACCGGCCCGACCGCCGAGACCATCCGCACCCAAAAGCTGGGCAGCGCCGCCGGCACGCAGAGCCCAACCGACGAGAGCGTCACGCTCAGCGAGGATGACGAGCTGGGGGGATGTAAGTACTCATCAACACACCGCCACTAGTGCGCGACAAATTGTTTATGAATGCTCTAAATACTGACGTTCTCCGTATCCATCAGATGGTTTCTTTGATGCGGGCATGCTCCTTCAGGCTCTCAAGGCGCGTGGCGAGGTTGACGGGGGCGAGACCAAGGCTTCCGAGCGGGCTGCTGTGCAGGCCAGGAGGCGGGATGTGGGCAAGAGGTTGCGGTTGATTGATTACTGATCCTCAGATACACAGACTGTTTTACTTTCCGACGTCGAGCGTGTTGTGTTTCTAGGAAATGTCAAGCGCACAGGTGGAGGTGAGCACGACGTGGGGAACTGTGTGGCTGGACGATCAGATATATTATATTCCCAAGGCAGGTCTGCAAATATACCCTTTATTTATTGAGGCCGCAATCAAAAAGTCCCCATGATACACACTAGGTCACCGGCGGGAGGGTTGGTTATTGAGCGTGCCTTGTAACAGGGCTCCGTTGTCTCAAGGAGGCGAAGAACAATAAAATGTCCCAGAAGAACACCCCTCGCAAAACAATGAATACCTCGAGCCAGGGGCCATACTTGGCAATGCAAGTATGAACCTTAACTCCGTAGTCCGCATGCTCGTCATCCGCGGCTAGTCATCACGCTGCCCTCCCCGTGCAGCAACAGGCATCCCATCCAAGACGCGCAGCGGCTTCTTCATTCTCAGCATACACATCGCCGCCCCTTTCCAGCCCAGCTGCTTCTTCTTCCAGCCTGGGTGGTATCCAGTCTCCCCGGCGGTCATCGGAAGGGCTACTTCCTCAGCAGTGTCCTCATCACTTGAAGTCCCTTCTTGCTCCTGGTCTTCGTCGCTGTCCATCCGCGGATCTGCCCCGTACGGCCTGGGGGATTCGGCTGTTGGCATCTGCTGAGTCTCAGCAGTCGGAGTGTCGAGGTCGATGACGACGTCGCCCCCGGCGCTGTAGGTGACGGCCTCGGGCTGCTGGGGCCTGCTGTATTTGGAAATGCCAAACTCGGGCATCGGTTTGCGTTTCCCTTTCTCGGCCTCCTGCACCTTGTCCCCGTCTCCCGATTTCGTGGACCCTCGGTCACCCTCCGAGTCACTGCCGCTGTGGTCCAGCACCTCAGACCAGACCTCTACCTGCCTAAGCTTGTCCGCATATATGACCAGTACCGTGAAGAGAGTCAGTGGTATTGTGGCCACCCAGAAGACCCAGAACAGAGGTTGCCCCGGCTCGAAGCCCTCGTTCATGGACAGCACGCCCGAGACGATGGAGAAGGGGAGCAGGATCCCGCCCAGGTACGTGACGCGGTCGAGGGCGCGCTGGTTGTCCGAGTCGGACCCCTGGGAGGATGGTCTGTCTGCCTCTGGTCGGTGTCTTGGGACGTAGGCCATCCTTTCCTGGTGATACAGGGCCCCGCTGGCTGTTCTTTCCGGCTTCTTGTGTGGGAGCCCGGGGCAAGTGGCCGTGAGGATCTCCGCGCGAGTTCGAAGTCTTTGTATGAGACCTTCCCAGTCGGCTGGGCCTACAGCAAAGCCCTCCTCGGTTCCACTGCCATTCTGGGACCGCGCAGTTCTCTTTGCCATGTCAAAATTCTGCTCCAGTGCTCGCATGATCTGCCACTCCAGTGACGTCCTCTCTGGCTTGACCACCCTCCGCCTAGGTGTGAGGACCTCGAACAGCTCGAGCCACTGCTCATACGCTGTCTCCTCCAAGACCTGAAGCACCCCGCTGTCCTTACATGTAGTCGCGGGACTGTCCTGTAGTATGCTCTCCAAGCTGGGAATCTCCTCTCCGTTCCACTGGGCGACTGCCACGTTGTCTCCTTTCGTCCCACCATATCTGGGTCGGTTCTCCTGGTCTATCGGCGCATTGTATCCCGTGACTTTACCTGCCCTGCGAGCCTTTCTCAAGGGACCCCTTTCTTCCCAGCGAGGCTTGTCCAAGAACAGCACATCCACATCCTGGCTCACCCAGAGACTCGCCCGACAGAACACAGCGGCCAGCCCCTTGCCAGCGTCAGACACAGGCCGTACCACTGGCTCTCGCGCAAGGTCGGCAACAACCTGAGGAAGTCCTGGGCCGATGGAGTTCTGCTCGAAGCCCTGGCAGGACCTCTTCCGGGCTATAGCCTGCCAGTCCCCAGCCACCAACTCCGGGTAATCCCAGTGCGCATACCTGGCCGCCCTGGGCCCTCGTCTCCGGCGGATACCCATGGGCCGGTAGCTTCTCCCCGCCGCATGGGCTTCGACAAAGGACAGGTCAATGTCCAAGGGGCTGTCGAGAAGGACAGGCACAAAGGCGGCCGGGAGGCCGTAGATGGTGATGAGTGGCCTTGCCGCACCCTCCACGCCACTGGCGTGCTTTGCACTGGCGGCGGTGAACACATCAGAGGCCGCCGCGGCCGCTTGGGTGCCTTGTTTGACAAGTTCAGATACCTGAGCTTGGAGTTCGCCGGCTGTCGAGACGGGCCTCCGCTCGCAGCCCGTGTCGCCGCCCCGGGCCGTAACGACATAGCATGGCGGCGTCGGTGGCTCTGGCTTTACCTCTGGCGGTTGGGCTGCTGGCTGCTTTGGATTTCCATGTTCCCGGGTTGGAGGGACAGTAGACCTCGTGCTCCGCGGGTCGGAGGGGACGCTCGGCCGTGAAGGTGCCGTTGACATTGCTGACAACTAGCCACCCATTCCGGCCCGTGGAGGCTTCGCGAGGTCGCAAGGATATGGGGAATGAATTCGATTGCTCAAGCACACTTGCTGCTTGAGTGTTTATGTCCCCGTCTCGTTCATGTGCAGAAACAGGAAGGAGCGGAAGAGCAACGCGGCATCCGTGGCGAGGGAAGACAGAAGGGGAACGTCGAACCTACGCAAGCATCTCACCGGTGCCCTCCTCCCATATCTATCTCCCGTGATCTCCGGCATCTTCTGGACGAGTTCCAAGAGCTCTGGCTAACACAAAGGCTAGACATGCATGTCATGGTTTAAACCGATGACTAAAGTAAAGGTAGGCTGCAGCAGGGGCTAAATCACAGTTTTAGCCCCTCGTGATGGGCGGTGGAAAGGGTGGGTGGGGACCAAGACGCGGCTGACGGATCAGCTGCGCACGAGATCGCCCGGATGCAGCGAGACATCGCAACACACCTGAGTCTATCTGCATATGTATACACGTATCGAGACGGTGCAGAAGATCCTTCCCCACAGGAAGCGAACAGTCCACGCGCGTCAGTGTACACCCGTAGTCACTCCAAGGAACAGCAGAATTGCAAGATGAGCTGAAATTGTCTTTCGTTCTTTGCGCTCTCTTCCTCCCCACCTCACGAGTAGTACCAAGAACTCCAGAGACACCCAGATACTACCACCCCACGCCAACTCCTGAAAATAGCTTCGTATGGCGGCCACTCCAGAATCACACCTTGTGGCCTCCTTTCGCAGGTCCGCCTCTGCTTGCTGTTCGTCCTCACCCTAGGCAGCCAAGGGCCCAGTTTGCCCGAAGCCACCCACATGGCCAGATATATGACATGGCCGTCGATTCACCGCACGGGCACTCGTCGCGCCAGAGAAATCGATTGAAAGCAACAAAACAAGAAATTGCTAGATACCATTTTGCCCTGTCTTTGGTCCAGAACGCCTTAGCCGCAAGACGCCATGATGCTACTTCCCTCTTGCATTAACGTCATCCTCCGTGGTCCTTTGAATGAGTGTTGGTAAGGGAAGTTGAAAAAAGAAGACCGGGACAAGCCATGAAATGCCATAGGGCCTGCCCTCTTCTGTATCATTTGTACAGTAAAGTCATATACACTTCTCCCCTCTTTTCAAGATCACTGGTGCAGACTGCATGGAGAGGCACGACTGGAGGGTCGACGTCGGATCGGACGGGCCAGCGAGCCATGGCATCAACAGTTCTGCAGCCGGGCAATGTCGACATCCGAATCGGACAGTGCTGCTCACGCCAAGCCTCTTGCACTCGATACGGATGGCGTGCGTGTAATCGCGAGCCGCTGATCGTCCAATTGTCTCTCATCACAATCCAATGGCTCAGCTTCAATGAGGTGACGAGTCGTATCCGTTGTCAGAATTGTGGTCGTCGCCGTCATGATGGAGAGTTACACTGTTGAATTCCTCAAAAGGATCGGCAGCCTCACCACCAGGAGTTGCGAGGCCGCTGTCGAGAGGCACGCCCTGCATTGGCCTAGATCCGCTGATGTCCACACTCTCGCTCTCCTTGACGTTGCGGAAGTTGATGGTGTCGAGGGCACGCCCCTGATTTGGTACGATTGGTGGCTTCATGTGTCGGATCAAAGCCCATTGAGTCGTCCTGAAGAAGGGATGTACCTTGATGTCCGAGGCTCCTGCACGAGCACCTAGTCGGCGGTTCTCATCTTTGATGAGCAGCTTGCGTATGAGAGATTTGCAGAGACTACGAGTCCGTTAGCGGAAGCCATTGAGTATGTGTGGTCTTAGGTACTCACTTTGATATTTGGGGCGCTCCAGCGTGGTCTGGGAACGGAATGTCTTCCCTGAGAATGTTTGCGAATGTCGCGTTTCGGTTCTTGCCCTTGAAAGGGGTTGTGCCATACAACATCTCGTAGACTAGGATGCCCAGCGTCCACCAGTCAACGGCGCTGGTGTGGCCGCTCCCCTTAATTACCTCTGGCGCAATATATTCCTCCGTCCCCACGAAGGAATTGGTCCTGAAGTTGGCGATGCAGGACCTGGTGTCGATGGTTGGTAATGATGTCGTGCTCGCCCCATTCTTGCCCACGATCATGGTCGGCTTTCCACCAGGGTCAGACTGCTTCGACAAATCGAAGTCCGACAGCATGATGTGTCCAGATTGGTGAAGGAGGATATCTGGCGGCTCAGGTTAGCAGGCGCATGATTTGCGAGGGTCCGGCGTCCGACTTACTCTCAGGCTTCAGATCCCGGTAAATGAAGCCCATAAGGTGGAGGTACTCCAAGGCGGCAGTGACCTCTGCAGCATAGAAACGTGCATCGTCCTCGGGTATGCATTTACCAGGCCGGGTCTGCAGGGCGCGGAAGAACTCGCCACCACTGCAGTACTCCATACACAGGTACAGGTAGTCCTCAGACTGGAAGGAGTGGTACAGTGTGACGATGAAGGGGTGGTTGCTGGTCGCGAGAATCTCCTGCTCTGCAAGGGCTCTCTTGATCTTGTTGCGCTTGATCATCTCCTTCTTGCTCAACACTACGGGAGATTTGTCAGCCGACGCGAGAGAAGGTTAAGGGGCACGCGATACATACCTTTCATGGCATACAGCCGGCTGCTCTTCTTCTCCTTGACGAGATAGACCTTCCCGACATCGCCCTTGCCAATCAACTTGATCTTGTCAAAACTCTGGGGGCCGACCTCGACATTGCGGACCTTGATGGAGTTGGAGCTGTATGTTCTCCTGAAGGCGAGGGGTGTCCGGCCGGGCGGAGGCAGGGACCCGAGGCCGTCAGGGTCGGGCACGGCAAGGGAGAGGTCGTCACTGCCGTGTTTTGTTTCCACCAGCCCCAGCGTGCTCGCGCTCTTGTTGACGATCAGCGGCTCCTTGCCAAGCTCAGCGGTGGCAGGGCGCTCGTTGCTGCCCTTGCCGTTGGAAAACAGGCCCTGGGCATTGGGGGCGCTGGCGACCCTCCTCAGCTTCCTCGCGAGCTCCTCCTTTGTGGCGGCAGTGGGCTGCTCTGCAGGGCTGCCGTTGGGGCCATCGATCTTGAGTTCCGGGGTGTCAGGGGGGCTCGGGGGCACGGAGCCCTCGTTGTGGTGGCGGAGGGCGGGCGGGCCCTGGTGAGCAAAGTAGGGATTGGCGTGTGCGGTGGGACTGAGGGCCTCGTCGAGAGGATGGCCTTCGCTAGTGGTGGTGGTGCTCCTCAGGCGGCCGACGGTGGTGAAGAACTTTGACTGGCGGAAGGAGGACTTGCTGTCGGACTTGAAGGGGCTGTTTGAGTGGTCGCCGGGGGCGAGCTGGGCCTTGTCGCCGTTCAAGCTGCTGATCCTGAAGAAGTTCTTGAGCTTCTGTGGGAAATGGCTATTGCCATTGGTTGATTTTGTGGAGGGCATGGTGAGGTCTTCAGGATCATGAGGTTGAGGGCGATGCCATCGTGCAGAGAGGGAGCGGCTGTTTGTGGTGATGGTGAACTGGCGAGGCATTGCTGAGGTGACCGAGGAGCAGGAACCAAGAACCAAGAACCAGGACCCCGAGGCGCAGGCGGCGGCGGCGGGCGAGAGCGTTGATTAGACTAGCAGAAGGGAGACGGCCGGGTGACAGGGACAGGGACGCGGACGGGGGGGTGAGCCTAGGCCAAGTCGAGCAGACCCCAGCGGCAGCACAATCAGGCGGAGAACTGGAGGGAGATGGCCAGGAGGGCCTGCTGCGGTCGGGTGCGGTAGGCGGTAGGCGGTAGGCGACAGGCGGGGAGGCCAACTTGGGAGTGGGGTGGGGCGCCCGCTGGCTGGTCAAGTCAGGTCAGTTTGCCAGTCAGGCCAGTCAGGTCCGGGGCTCGTCTCGTCTCGTCCAACAGAACAGCCCGGCGGGAAGGCAGACGGGCGACACAAGTGGATGCCACTGCCAATGCAACCGCGGCTGGTGGGCTGAGAGAGGAGAGGGGAAAGGGAGCACGCAGCAAGTGACACCGACTGACAGGCAGACAGGCTGAGATGGTGCGGACTAGACCACACAGTCGGACAGACAGCCGGACAGGACGGTACGAAGGCGCGGCAGGGCTCCCAAGATCCTTGGAAGATCCAGTCAATCTCCCTGGCTGAGACCCTGGAGAAAGGAAACGCCACGTCGTTAGCCCGAAATGTTGCTGTGTACGGTAGCGTCTATCAAGCCCGTCCAGTTGGCTTCAGCCGACTTGAGCCCCTTCTCCGAGATTGAATGCAGAGGGACGAGGAGACAAAGACGGGTTTGTCGGCGATGTGAAGAGGTGAAATACGGAGGGAGGGGATGGATGGGAAGTTGGGACGAAGGGACGAAGGGATGGATGGATGGATGGATGCGTTGTGTTATGTTATGTGTACTGCACCATGCTGCTTGCTATGTAAGTGTGTGCTGTACAGTACCTTTCTCCGTGGGCAGGTACGTATTGAGCCTTGTACAGTGCACTGGGCAATTATTAGCAATCAACATTGAGCAAATCAGGGATTTCGCGGGTTTAACTCGTTGCCCCCAGCACCAGTGACGCCGAGCGGGATTCAATTGGCCAAGCCCTTGTGAGGATGCGGGAAACGTGGGTGAGCAATGCCTGGCCCATCATGGCGCTTCAGGGCACTCCCAAGGTTTGTTTTGCACACTATTTCCAGATGTGAGATGTTCCAAGCAAGTCTTGCATTGCAATTGACAGCTGACCAAACGCCTGGGTCAAGCACTAGACCCAGCAGATATCTGCACCCCGGCCACAATACAGACAAAGAGGCCTGACGTTTGTTGTACTGCATCTCAACTCCAACATCTGAGGTTGAGCCAGCCACCCCCTAGAGAGCATCGCAATATCTTAAGCATTCGTCTCCCCCGCTTTCCAAGGTTTGTGTCGACCTGCTGCGTGCCCGCTCTTCCCCACCAGGCAGGTCCCTTGTATCCCACCGTCCCTTCCACTGTTGAATGCAAACAGCCTGAGTGTTCTTTCTTGCCCATGCACATGCCTGCCTGCCTCTTACTTGGTAGACTGGCTACATAGCTATTTGTATGTCAATACCATCCATCCATCAGTGCTGTTCTTGCTTGAGGGCTCTGTCCTTTTCTGGCGTCAATATCAGACCAGGATTCATGAAACCCAGGCATCGAGGCACCCGGACGGGTACTGCTGCCTCGGCATGCCTCTGGTCTATTGCCTGCTCAAGAAGCCGTCGCTTTCACCCCCACGCCGCCACAATAACCCTCACGCGCGTCTCGAGATCAACACCGAACCCTGACCTACACACCTCTCGACGACAACATCTCATTCTATTTGCCTCTCCCATCCAGACCTCGCCAGCGGGATTTCTTCGTTTCTCTGGCATTTAATGCACGTCAAAGCGTCAGCAGGAGTCGGGATCCAAGTGATATGTTGTCCAATGCCCTTCAAGGAGAGCCCCCGTCAAGAGGCGGCTGGCGAAACAACGGTCCAGCCTCGCCCGTCCCGCAACGGCCAACTACCCCTTCGCCTGAGTTACCACGTATCACATCCGATATTGCAGGCTTTCAACGGCCACCCCAGCTGCGCAGCCCGCAGAGCCCCAGGCACGTCGGCCATGACGCCCACACTGCGCTGCAGACTCCTGCCCATGCGGGCCGGCACCCACCTCAGTCTCACTCGCCGTCACGGCAGTCAAGACCACAGCCGGTACCTGGCCCCGCAACGATACCAGGTCGGACGCAGGGTCAAGCTCGGATAGAGGTGGTCCTCGATATCTCGCCACAAAAGTCATCATCACACGGAGGGCTCTATTTTGGCGAGGCCGACCCCGAGGATGAGCTGGTTACGTCAGACCTCACGAGACAGGGCGCACTACCACCTGCTCAGGTATCCACACAAGCAGACGCGCCCGCCTCAGTGACGCCCGCCCCACCCCTCGGCCAGGCGCGGACGAGGTAGGCCCAAGGGCTGGCGCCCCGGCATGCCCTCCTACAAGACTGGCCTGCCTACCGTGCGGCGCTCTGCTGGGCCCGGGCCCAAGAGTACAGGGCAGAAGCGCAGGGGCCGGCCGCCGCGCCAGCCGTCGCCGACGCCGCGGGAGGTCTACGAGAGGCAGGCGGCGCCTAGGTACATGCCATTCCTGTGCGAGTGGCCCGGCTGCAAGGCGGAGCTGCAAAACCTCACGAGGCTGCGGAAGCACATCCACGTCGTCCACGGGCAGATGGACCCGCTGCTGTGCCGGTGGGCGCACTGCAACGACAGAGACCTGGTGTTCGCGCAGAAATTTGAGTTCCAAGACCACGTGGACGAGGAGCATCTCACTCCGTTTGTCTGGCACGTCGGGGACGGACAGCGGAATGAGCGGCCCATAACCAAGGCGGATGAGATCTCGGAAAAGCTGCCGGCTTACCTGCTCGGCCCGAACGGCGAGCAGGTGACGCCGTGGGTGAAGGACCAGGAGATCCAAGACATCCTGACGTGGCGGGAGAACCGACGACGGCTCAAGCACATCCTCATGCAGCGGGACGCTAACGCTCCAAGCGAGGATGAGGATGAGGTTGAGGACTCGTCGAATGAAGAGCCTCTTCCCGGCTAGGGTGGAGCGAGACCGAGCAGTCACGGGTTCGAGTGGGTGGTCACACTCGGCGTCGGGGAGACGTTCACACGAGATGCGGCTCAGCGATGGAGCTCGTAATCGGGAGAAATTGCGGAGTATATTCTGTTTGTTCACTGGGTTGTCACACAATTAGATACCCAAGATAGACGGCTTGACGAGAATCGCGTGCTCAGCCACGGCAGACCGGTAATTGTGCATTACGAGCGCGAATCGCAGTCAGATTGCTCCCTCGCAACCATGTGAGACAGCTCGGCGGAGCGGATTTAAGCTCGATGCAATGGAGTGAAGCAGCGCGAGTAATTACTGTGAGTGCCTCGCGCAGACATCACCAAGTCCGGTCGCCCGTCGCCTGCTCACCCCTGGGCTCGGCATCAACGGGCAGGCATGCGATTTGATGATTCGCACGTACGGTTTTCGGGTCTCCTGAGATTGGGGCTCAGCCCTGCGAGGGCTGCAGGGCGGGCGGGCCAGCCAATGTAATGCAGGACCGCGCAGGGACCAGGAAGAACAGGCAACGCTAGGCGAAGGTGGTCCGCCGTGTGGTACTGGGACATGACACGAGCCACAGCAACGAGCAGCGGGCTGGGTGATTTCCCAAAAATAAGTGCAAGGGGGTTACGTCACTTGCGTGGAGTTCGGTGGATTTCTCAGCATGAACGCGGGAAAAAGAGGAATTGGGGGGGGGGGGGATGGAAAAGGTTTGATGATGAGCTGGCAATACGCGGACGGGCGAACAAGCCGCTGGGTTTCTCCTGGCGACCCGGGATGCCGTGCCGCGAGTTTGGATCGCACGCCAAAGGCCGTGATGAGAGAGTCGAGAGACGGCTTTGAGGTGCAGGACGACCGTCAATGGGCATTGCGGGCTTGTGGGAATGGGCAAGGTGCACCTGTTGGCCGGGCCGAGTCAGGCTCTTTCCCTGTTGGGAAAGAGGGTGGGTAATGGGCGGCCTGCTGTACTAAGTAGGAGGTACCTATGTACCTCTATATCCCGAGTCTCGCTACCTAGGCACAATCAACGGACTCGACCTGCTATGGTCCGCGACTCCAACCTCAGTTCCCCTTTCTCAAGCCCTCCTGAACAAAGTCAGATAGGCTCACGGGCGGGGATATAAACGTGCATTATTGACGGGTGGCTAAGGACGTCGTGCCTCGTCGATGACTTTTTGACTGTGTTGGCAGGCTAGTCCTGGCACACAAGCGTATGGGTTAAGGCCAGGCAAGCACCTAGATAATCAGGGCTGTACCTGGATAGAGCATATTTCTGCAATTGCTAGAACTCAGCCTCGTTCTCCAGAATCATGAATGAATGGCAAGAAGACGCAATTATTACTGCTCAAGTGCTGCGGTAGTTGCGTGGCTGTCTGTATTCCTCCACATTCAGCATTAATAGACAGCACTAACTCGCCACACTCCCATAATCAAGTCCAGAACGGTCGGAGAGCTAGTACATGCGAAGCAATAGACAACTCGAGCTGCAACGAGAAGAGGGGGAGGGCAGAGATGCATTAGAACCGATATAGTCAATTTTAACCGCGCCCGTTTGGGAGGTACTAATTAGCCAATTCTTCTCTTTCACCCAACCTGCAGCGCACATTCGCCGGCTCACATGGTGGTCGATATTTAACCCAGGTTCCTAGGTAGTGTGGATAGTATCGGCCAATCAACCGCCCTGTACCTGTCTTGCTTTGTTTTCCTGACAGACAATTCCGACCAGGTACTTATTTCAGGGAACCGTGTGTCCTGGGGAGACCTCAGTCCAAGAGGGCTCTACGAGCTACATTCCCCAAATGAAGAGTCATGAAAAGTTCTTTTTGGTCAACAATTGTCCGACATCGTAGACATAGCCGAGTTGCTTGGCCCCTAATGTGACCAGAGGAAACGAATTTGCCCCAGAGCCACGAGCAACTGCATGTGTGTCTTCCGAAGACCAAAACATGTTTACAGGAAAACTATGAGAAGTGTATAGGAGGCAGTTGGGGAAATCCTGAAATTTTGTCACTTGTGTTCTGCAGCTAGCTACCCTGACAACAAAGTTCATCGGAAAGGTTTTCGACGGGATAATTCAGATACTCATGCCCCGCAAGTTGATACACACATATCCTCCTTTCTAACCGAGAGGTGTGGCTTTCATGAGATGTTCTTATGTACATATACATATATATACATACATATACACACACATATATAATAATGATCATGTGTCTTATCAATACATACTTAGGCATGAAGTAGGAGAGCATTTGAAAGGAACGTTTTACCAGGCCGCAATGCCTTTGCAACCAGACCATACCACGTGTTGCAACTTGAGCTGGACCCGCCTGAATTTATTCTGGGGCCGACCCGACTAAGGTCAGCATTTGAGTACACTAGGACGACTTGGAAGGTCTGGTTCAAATCTGGACGAAGACTCAGGTCTCCACGTGACGGGGACTAGACGTGATAGTCGAAGACCATCTGCGGCGGCGTCATTATCGGAAAGTACGCTGCAAGAAGCAAGCAGACATTGCTGTTGACGACTGTAGACATAGACCTGACCTCTTCGACATAGTTGGACTGTTGAAAATACCACATTCTCGAAGGCTCATCACAAATGACATCCCACCTAAACCAAACATGGACGACCAACCACCAACGCGCCATAGGCGTCAGAGCTCCACTGTGCCATCACTTGCAACCATGCCACCTGTCCATGAGTATCCCCAAGACATGGCAAAGATAAAATGCAGAGACCTCGATTCAGTCGAAAACAGCAAAACGACCGAGCATCACGAATCTGTGCCACCCAGCAACCCACGCAGTGAAGAGGAGTCGTGGACTGACGTGGGGTGGATGATTCTCCTCGGCCTTGCCATTACCGCCCTTTCCATGGCGCTCAGCCTACTCCACTATGCCTACTTTTTCTACATGATGCGACGTCAAGGGGTTGACCTGTGGTGATGATATCGTGCGGACGTACCCTTTCGAGGTGCTCTGTACCGCCTCTGTTCCCAGTGGAAACGCCTGGATCTGAGCATGTTGGAGTCTCTAGGCTTGGGGGTCCGCCGCTCTCTGGTGATCGGAATCGTTTCTGGTAGCCGTAGACCCCCTATCCTCCTTCCGCTGTCAGTAGGTCACGGTCACGAACAGCCCGAGTCGTTGCTTCCTCGTCCAGAACGACGGTTGACTCCACCAAGAAAGGCACTGTTTGTGTTCCGGATTTGCTTACTTTCCAAGTTCCATCATCATCAATCGGCTCAACGCTCGTTCGCTCACCACCAACATTCAAATCAAACCAACATTCATCCACTGACTACTACCATCATCGACATCTTCGACATCAGCTTAAGGCTCGTTCGCTCAGAATCACCAGCCAGACAACAAGTTTGAGTACAATGCGTCATATCGCACCTTTCGCGCTCATTTCGGTGGCCATGGCCAGTCGTTCCGTCGTTCTTGAGGCTCCAGATGACGCTTGCGGATACCTCAATGGCGTTCAAAAAGCCCCTTTCGGATGTTTTGACACTTCAGAAAAGTGCGCCATTTACTATCCGACTTCATCGACGGCTGCTAGAGCCGCTGTGGATGCCACTGTGGTGTCGATGATTACTCCGGCTCCACAGCCCTCCATCGTCTGCTGCGAACCATCCAGAGGGGACTGCACCATCCAGCCCACCGCCTGCGTTGATGCCTTGGAGCACTGCACAGGCAGTTGTTCCAATGACCCCATGACGCTCAAGTGCACAACCGAGGCTCAAAGTTACTGCAATCGGGCACATTTCGAATCGCCACTGTCCTTTCGCTACACTGAGGCCCTGGATGCTGGGCTGAGGCCCACGGACGCACCTGTTGACGGCTGGTTTTGTGGCCCGTCAGCCTTCCCCATCCAGCATGCAAATGCATCGCACAGCAAGACCACGTCAATGGCCCAAATGAGCCATTCTCCAGTCAGTCCTACCACCACCCTCAGCGTCACGATAACCTTGTCGAAACCTGGAGTGGGACCTGGCCCTGCAGTCACCCCGTCCACCACCCTCAGCGTCACGGTAACCTTGTCCAAACCTGGACTGGAGCCTGGACCTTCGCATATGTCGTCTCCACCTGCAGCTGCCGATTATGAGGACACCGACCACAAAGAATTTGCTCCCGGCAGCGATGACTGTTGTTTAGACGAGCCCGGTACTTCTGAGCCTTGCGGTTACGACACCCTGCGAGCACGGCTACAACGAAGACAGGCCATGAGTGGCTCAGCCACCGCAGTCTTGTCAGCCGCAGCACCAGGGTACGAAATCAGCAGAGGATCCGCCATCGCCTCTACTGCGTACATAGGCCAGACCGATCGCGCTCCATTCGTCGAGGCGACCCGTATATGGAATGTTGTAACACCCGCGGCGGCTGCGACCTCCACGACAACAACTACCGATCCACGGATGCGGCCTCCGACTCGAAAGGGGAAGAAGAACCGACTCAGCTCACCAGGCAGGATTGCCATCGGTGTCATCGTAGGATTGATAGGCCTATTTGCAATTTGCTATGTCCTCGGGAAGAAGTACTGGCACCGGTCCGTTTCAAGGCAACAGCATTCGGAACAGCATCAGAATGAACATGAACTGGCCGAATCTCCAGTGCATGCCGCAGAGAGGCAGAAAAGATATGCCCAGTACAGGAATAATCTCGCATCGATGGCAGACCACGTCGCAGATTACGTTGCGGATCAGAGCCCGCAGCAACATCCCACAGACCATGGGGATATGCCGGAGCAGCGAGGCCCGGCCTTCGAAAGGCAGTCACATTCAGCTACTGTAGTGCGGCCAGGTCCGGCTTTTGAAAGGTGCCAGCATGTCTCTCCTGAATCTGGCGAGACCACTGATGTCGAGGAGGATGTTGAGCCCCGGTCTGAAGATTCACTGGAACGAGAAGCTTATGAAAACGCCATCGGCGTCGCGGTTTCGGAAGGGAGGAATCAGGCACACAATATTTTCTAATGCGCGTGGGTCAGATGTTGGTGACTTGAGCATCACTATTGGGTATCACAGCGAGCCTTGTGTGCCGAAGGCTTTCTATGAGACAGAGAGTCGTTCGGCACGTAGACAGCAGCGAATGTTATTAAAGTTTCTCAACCAACACAGCGGCAAACTGAGGCTCCATTTGGTTTGCAACCGAAATGTCTTCTTCTATTTGTCATCAACCCGCTCTCGGCCTCTCGCGCTGGCGGACAATTCATGCTGTGCTTAAGTAACCTCACGACTGTCGGGGCGGGTTAGACGACTGGTACGCGTACAACCCTTGTAGACTTACATGCGACTGTTCCTGGCGATGTTTAGTGATCTCCTGGTCACGGTCAAGCAAGATGTTGTCCTGCGCCTCGGGGAAAGCTTGCCGCCAATTATTAATCGAGCCGGCGACATTTGGCGGGGTTCGCACCTCACTGCATACCCAGGCACCTAAAGTGCATTGCGTCAACGCCCTTTCGCATTGAGCACTTGAACTACTTTACAAGTATAGGACGAGCTTCCTCTGTTATTGCCCGCAATCTCAAAGCTCCAGTCGATGAGAATTTATATGACATAGCTGCCTCTACCGAGAGTATCTTGAATTGCCTTGATCGCCCAACTTCATATCACAATATCCCTGATCTGCAGTCATGGCATCACTTTCGAAGTCCTTCTTCGCCGTCGTGGCTGGCGTAGGCGCTGGCACAGGCGGTGCAGTGAGTTTCCCATGGCTATGTGACTGTCCTAATTCCACCAAGATAGTATTGCTGACAAAAGAACAAAAGGTCGCAAAGCGTTTCGCGAAAGCCTACCCGGTGGTCCTGCTCGCCCGGAGGGAGGAGAGCTTCAAGGACCTTGTGACCGAGATCAACGGCAGCGGAGGCCGGGCAATCGGTATTCCAACTGATGCCACAGACGCGGAGTCCGTGAAGTCGGCGTTTGACACCATCAAGAAGGAGCTGCCTGACCTGAAGCTGGCCGCCGCCATCTACAACGTGTCGGCGGGCTTCGGAATCAAGCCATTCCTGGAGTTCAAGCTCGAGGACCTGGACAGCAGCCTCAGGGGTAACGCGTGAGCAAGCGCCTTTCCCTTATAAGCTCTCACCCCCTCACGGGATAACACCGTCTGACAATATGACACGATGCCACGCACAGCCATGGCCTTTTCCACTTCGCCCAGAACACCCTCCCCTTGCTTCTCGAGTCGGTCGACTCGTCTCCGCACCCGCCGTCCCTGATCGTCACGGGCGCCACGGCCTCCATCAGGGGCAGCGCAAAGTTCACCAACTTTGCCGCGGGCAAGTTCGCCGCGAGGGCCATCACGCAGTCGCTGGCCAGGGAGTTTGGCCCTCGCGGCGTTCACGTCGCGCACGCCATTATCGACGGCGGCATCGACATCCCCCGCTTGGCCGAGCACAAGCACAAGTTCAACAACGGCGCCCCCGACGGGCTCATCTCGCCTGATTCGGTAAGCGGGAGGCTCTCGGTCGGGAAAGCTGGCGAGAACGGAGACTCAGTTTGCTAATGTTTTGTGTGTTAGATTGCGGAGGATTACTGGCACTTGCACACGCAGCATCGGTCGGCCTTCACTCAGGAGTTAGACTTGAGGCCCTATGTGGAGAAGTTTTAGGGGGTTGAGGTACCCCCTCAGGTTTGGGCGGACAAAAACGGCCAATTCACATGAGCGAACGGGGAGCGAGGCGAGAGGTCCTCTCAGTGTAACCAGCAAAAGAGTGTCTGTCTCATGTCTGGTAAAAATGCCTGGGCCTATTTGCAATCCCTGGTGCTGTCCCTTGCTCGCAGCAACTGGCCTTATGATATACACGAGCCTTCATAACCCGTGCGTAGGCTGCGGATATGAGGAGACGAAGTATACACTCGGTCAGCAGAGTGCGGCCATACTCACGCACGGCTATCTTGGTGTGCACCTAAACTTGTCGAGAGGTGCGACGCGATTGCCGGCGGAGTCGGGTCAGCCTGTGTATCTTGCAGTGATATCTTAGTTAACGGAGCGTCCAATGCCCTGTTCAATGCCCTGTTCAGGTGGCAGCGGTGGCTTCCGTGTCCTTCGAGGCCTCCGGGGACTCCGGTGCCGCCGGGGCCTCTGGGGGCCGGGCAGCCTGAGCAGCCTCTTCCGTAGTAGTATCGCCGGATACTGGCTCTCCGTTGAGGTAAGGAATGCCATATTCCTTCGCCAACCGCTCGTCCTCCTTCCTCTGCCGTATGCGCTCAGTCTCCTCACGCATCTTTTGCAGATTCCACACATCGCTATCCTCGTCATCCGAGGCATCATCGTCGCTGTCCCCACGCCAATTCCCGCTCTCAAAGAGCGTCCTTCCTGTGGCTTCCTTGGCCTTTCGAGCTTGCTCCTCCGCGGCCTTCTTGTCCATTCGCTTCTTCTTCCATTCGGCAAACGTTTCCGGGGTGACGGGGGTGAGTGTGCCAACTAGCTTGTGCCTCTCCGATTCGAGGAATTCCTCGAGCGTCAGAGTCTTGAGCGGCGACTTGTCCATCATGGCCTTCTCCGCTGCCCTCTGCTCCTTGGTCTTGAGTATGAAGCTGTGTTTGGTGTTAGCCGAACCCTTTTGGACCTGGGGTCTGAAGCAGAACTTACCCTGGCGGAAGAGCATGCTTATACATGCACTTATCGCCACCATTGGGACAGATCCAGAACCAGCCATATTTGCCATCTTCGATGGCCTGGATGAAGTACTTGCAGACCTTGTCGGTGGTTGTCCGCTGGTTGCCTTTCTTGGACAGGACGACGGAGCGCAGCTTGTCTTCGTCCCAGTCGGCCGAGGTTTCGGCCTTCTTCTTCTCCTCCTCTTCTGCGCGCGTGTCTGTGTACAGACTCTTCTTTTCCGTCTTCCGGTCTAGCTCCATATCATGTGAGAACTTACACTTCTTCCCCTTCTCACAGTTACCCTTCTTGTAGAAGATACAGAGGACGGTCTTTGGATCGACACCGAAGGGCACCTTCTGGATCTGGGCGGGCTTGTTGAGCAGCAGGTCGGCTTCCCTCTTTGCCTCCTCTGCAGCCTTCTTTTCCTTCTCGCGCTGTGCCCTCTCGGCCTCTTTCTTCTTTTGCTCGGCGTTGCCTCCGGCCTTCATCTGTGACTGCAGCTGCGAGATCTGCCTCTGGGCCGCGCCGCCCTTCTTGTTCTTCATGCCAAAGGTCTTGTCATCGACGGCTTTCTTGGCGTCCAGCTTCTTGCTGGGGCCTTTGTCGGTCTTTTTCGGAGGCATCTTGGCTGTGTAGGTGAAAACCGATTCGAAAACTGGATTTCGCTCGCAGATGCTCGAGTTTTGGGGGGTGCTGGGATAGTATGTGCCTAGAGCCCAGCGGAAAGGCGTCGTGGGTGGAAAGTTGGAGGGGGCACTTTGAAGTTGTAAGCCGACAAGGCAGTAATAAAAAAGCGGGATGTGGTCCAACTGAGTCTGGCGCTTGAACAGTGACGCTGCGGACCCGCCCACCGCGATGATTAGGTAAGGGCTGTCCGGCCGAGTGTAAGCTGCATGTACGTATCTTCGTACCTGACCAGCTAGTCCGAGGTACTGCATCCCAGCCCGGCAACTCCAACAGATGTGAAGTGGCCTTGTCGTCACAAGAGCTGCCCTCCGCCTTCCATTCCTTTTCAGCACCAAGAGTCAACTGCACCCGAGAGTCATTGAGACACCGTCCAAGTGAGTTAGCAGACTTGTTTTTTTTCCCAGCGACTTGCAGCATTCTGACAATTAACCAGCCTGTCAACTCCAGAGTCGCAGCCTCTCAAGTCTCCGTCGCAAGCCCGTGCTCCACCAGAACAAATCGCCATAATGATCTCCGACAACGATCTGTACAGACTCGCCCTGTTCCTTGGCTCTGCCGCCATGGTTCTGATTGTCGGCTACCACTACATTGAGGTCAATGCGAAGGATGATGAGAAGGCAACCACACAACGGGCTGGAAAGCAGGGTGCGGCACTGAAGTGATGGTTGGTGTTGGGGACAGAGAACGGTCACGGTAATCGACATTGTATCATTGGAATCAACAGAGGGAATAACAGCAGACAACACCTAGATGCTGAGGCAAAGTGGCGGACATTCACGACGCGCGGGGCCCTCGAGAGGGCCGGTGGCCTTGTCTATTCAAGCGCAACTTGCAGTTGCGACTGGCAAGGAGGAAGTTTGGCCAGCAATGATACTAGACACACTGCATAAAATGGAGTGCATCGGGGCCGTCGCTGTGCTGCGTTGTGCACATCCTCCGAGCGGCCACGAAAGACATCAAGTTTCGAAACACGAATGCAGCAGTCTTCGAGATAACCAAGTCAGTCAACGAGTGGCTACATTTGGGATCCATATGTGACGAACATTGCCCAGTCCTCAGGTTACGCTGTCTGTCCTACTGATGATCATTAGTGTGGATTCGTGAGGGAAATAGAATCGCTGGTTGTCACATCCCCGTATTGGTCGAATTATCCAGCGCTGTTGAATATGATGGGAGAGTAACAGCGCATCCCAGGTTCGGCACTGACACGGTAACTTTGGTCTTTGTACATCGTGTACTTGAAAAGCTCCAGCTCCAGCTCGTAAGCTCTTGGCTGGCTGGATGAGCCGGAAAGGGGGTCCAGCGGCCAAAGGGCGTCAGGGTTCGGGTTGAGCCCCTTTCACTCAATCCCTCGATTCACTGCGCCGCTAAGTCTGCCATCCCTGCAAGCGGCCTCTGACAAGGTCGCCCTAGACCTCTGCAAGCTTGTCCCGTCGCCGGGTCGCGCCCTGAATGCAGCAGGCAACAAAAGGGCCAGCCGCTTTCCCTCGCCCCTTCGCCAACCCCCTTCAAACTGGTCCTTCCTCCCAGCCTTTTCATCCACCCTCACGTCAACACAACAGAGACCCATTCTGCCGCCTCCCAAGTCTGCCACCACTTTCGACAGACTTCCAACCCACATTCATAACATCTGCCATTTCGATTCTGTCCGGCCGTTTGACTTGATACGCAACACGACAAGCGACCGTCATAGCCAAACTTTCAGCCCTTACTGCCACTTCGTCGCATTGCAGCCTGCGCAAAGCAACAGCCACCCGACAACCTCAACGCGCGACAGCTTCCCACATTCTGCGTCGCTGAACCATCCTTTCGTTTCACGCACAACTCGGCGCGATTCCAAGTCTGCCACATTCTTTCGACTGAATCAACTGGTCTCCCCGACACTCTCATTACTACCAACATCAACATGTCTGGCAAGCTCGACCAGTCTCTCGATGAGATCCTCTCCACCAAGCGCACTCCTGCCGGTGGCCGCCGCTCCACCCGCAAGACCGCTCGTCCCGCTGCCCCTGCTCCCGTAGGCGGTGTCAAGAAGAACACCAAGCCTGCACGCGGCGCTGCCGCCAAGCCTTCATCCGGCAAGGCTCCCAGGCCCACTGGAGAGAGCAAGATCATAGTGAGCAACTTGGTAAGGACCTCTTCCCTAGCAACCCCAAATAAGCTCATCGCTAATGACCCCACAGCCCAAGGACGTGTCCGAGAGCCAAATCAAGGTATGTTACCGATGAGGCCTTTGCAGCCTTCGGGGACTTCTGTCGACATTCTATCCATCGCGTAATATACCGACATGATCACGCCGCACATCGGACGAGAGGCAGCTATACCTCCTATCCATACCTCCGCTTTTGCTGGCCCAGCCTGCACACTGAGCCTCCTTCCTTCCAGCCCAGCAAGTTCCTTTTCATGCTGCGGGGTCTGTGTAGAGAAGTCGAGCACCTCGTTTCGCACAACATGACAGTACGCTTGGAGTGCCTGGCAAGCATCCAACGCAAGCTTAAGTCTGTGACGATCAAAAACGTGGGCTGAAGTGTCATGGCCTCCCGTGCCTCTCCCGTTGCTTTCATCTGTGGCAGGTGAACAAGATGGCAATGAGGACAACGCTTTCCCTCGAGCAAAGCAGTGAGCATTTACGAGCACATGCGTCGCTTTTGGCAAGGACGACCTTTTCTTGCGACTCTTGAAGTCGATCTTCCTTTCGATCTGGAGCTGTTGGGCGGACCGTATCCTGTGGCAGACAGAATCATCTTCCCATTGTGATTCTGGACGCGAGTGCTTGAGCAGGCCAAGCTAGGAACTTGAGGTGGGAGCCCTGTGAAGTTGAGGATGAAACCTCGATGCCCACAGCTCATTGTGCCTGCACGGCGAGATGCCTTGGTGATAGAGACTCTCGCCTTTCCAGCACGATGCGATTCCCCCTCTGCCCGCCAGCTGCGGGTATGGTCGACGGTCACGAGGCTTCCCACCACCAATGCTCACTGCTTTGCTCGTCTGGCCCAGTGTTTTGGATGCGCTAGAAAACAAATACCGGCGGTGCACTTTACGATCATGGACGACGGGATATCGCTCGGCGCACTCGAAATTTTATCGCATTATTTTGCTGACGCTTCTTCTTTCCTTGTTCAGGAGTACTTCCAGTCAGCTGTCACAGGAGTCAAGAAGGCCGAGCTTGTGTACGGACCTGGGGGAAGCAGCCGCGGTATCGCCAACGTTGTGTTCCATCACTCTGATGGCGCCAGCAAGGCTTACCAGAAGCTGAACGGTCTCCTCATCGACAACCGGCCCATCCGAGTGAGTCAAAGATCTGGCGCAATGTTTTATACACTCAAGCTAATCCAGTATCCAGGTCGAGGTCGTCGTCACCGGTGAATTGGTTCCTACACCTCCCACCCTGAGCCAGCGTGTGAGCCAGCCCAAGGCCACGCCCAAGTCCGCCGCTGCGGACAAGGCATCCGGAAAGGGTGCGAAGCCTGCTGCTGGTGGCCGAGGTGGTGCCGCCGGCAAGCGCGGTCGCGGTGGTCGCGCGAAGAGCGCCCGACCCACCAAGAAGACGGCTGATGAGCTGGATGCCGAGATGGCAGATTACTTCGACGGCGCCAAGAGTGGCGGTGATGCCACTGCCACGGCTGTCACCAATGGTGGCGATGCTGCCATGGAGGACGAGGTTCTGTAAACAAGCAGACGAACGGAGGACGGACCAGCGGACGGCCGTGACTTGGCCGCAATGCCAACAGGAGGACTTTGGGAATTCCATGCCGATCAAAAAAGACTTTATTGGTGGGGCGGTCCCAGCGGACATAATCGAGAATGGAAATTTGCGCCTCCTGCGACTTTGAGGGCACGGATTAGCCCTGGGCTTTTCATAGCTAAAGGATCGTCGATACGGACTGATGGAATTGGGCATCACAACGGCGACCAGATTGGACTTTTTCACCGTGCCAGGACGTTTCGATACTTGAGCCGCGACTGGTTGGCTTCTTTGCGATTATCGACAATCATCGACAACTTTCGTCGCCTTCATAGAGTGTGTTAATAACGCGACACTGGTCATTCTTCAACGGTACTCCGCAACCTGTCTCCCGTTAATATGCTATGTGCCTTTGCGATCCTTGCGGTTTCGCATTGATTCCCAAGGCCCCCACGCGCGCTGTTCTATCGACTGCAAATAGACGTGGGACTGAAAAGATGTGACGGGCACCTCGCCCATCAATCCACGCCGCTGATATCAACGCTCCCACCCTGCCTCCTAGGGTGCTGTCCACGCAACATACCGGCGGTCATTGAAAGTCGCCTTTCTCCCTTGGTGTCAATGCCAGGCCCTGCCCACCCGTTTCCTTGCTTCTCGCTGTTTACAGCGGAGACACGGACACTGATAACACGTCCCAATTTTCGCCAGCGGGCCAGGCAGTGAGCCAGGCGCCGTTGCGGACGTCCTGGGCTGCCTGGGCTGCGCTGTAGCCTCCTCGTACTCTTACTTCCCTTGCTCCGCCATTGTTGGCATGTTTGTCGGTGGTGCTCTTTGGCCGTAATGCTGCATCGTTGCTACTGCCAGGCGTGATCGGATCGCACCACCGCTCCGCTCTGGGCCAGGCAGAGAGATACTCGCCTCTGTTGCCCATGACTGTGTTACCGGTCTTGCCTATCTCATACGCGTTATTAAGGGTTTATACAGGTCGCTTGAGTGAGCCAGCAGGAAGTCGCTTGCTACTGAGTAGCAAGGGTGTGTTCTCGAAGGCATAGACCGGCCACTTGCCAAGTGCGCCGGCTCTGGTGCGCCATAAGGGAAATGAGTTGGTCGTCGAGCAAAAACAGTCGTCGCCATGGGAGGGGTGGTCTGCACCCGGCCTTGCATTATATATACGTCCCCGATAATCTCAGCAGTACGTGGTGAATTGCGCCCATGCTGCTACTGTCTCAGACCGCCTACTATGAAACAAAGCACCTATGGAAGTTTCGAGTGACGAGTGGTAACGTCAATCAAGGCAAAGAGAAGAAAGCAGCATCTCCCTGGAACCAAGATTCCAAATAAACCCAGTAAGAATGTTGTGGTGGCCAGCAATCTAGTCGACAGCCTGGAGTGAGTTTTGTTCTGCTTACCTTGGCCAGTGCAAAAAGAAGCGTGGGTATAGCCGGTATACCTCTTGTTCCCAAGGTGACTGATGAGATTCTCCGTCGCAAATTTATTGCTCCACGCGGCGAGCATGGGATGACAGAATTTCTCCGCTTGAAGTAAGTGGTAACTTTGTTGTTGCTACTGCTACTGTCATAAGCTCAAGAGGCTGGGAGAGAGGTGCAGTGTGCGGCGTATGAAGAGGGTAGAGATTGGCACGACGAGAGCCTTTAATCATTGTAATAGGTAGAGGAGCTTGTGACCTTTTCTTTTCCGAAAACAGAATTGGCGATGGTCTTGACCAGTGACAAGAAAATCCTATCCTTCCTTCGTTGTTGGCCCTAATGGAACCAACAGTCCATGAGGCGCCCAAGATAGGCAGGCAACCGTGACTGTGCCTCTTTTTCTGCCTCTTGTCAGGCTCACTGACTGCCCACACCAATTCCGACGCTTACGTCGTAAGAGCCAACCGTCAGTCGTACACCATCTCAAAAACGCCGGCTATTTTTAAATTAGGACAAATAGTGCGATCGATAACCGACGAATACACCAGAGATGAATTTGGTTAGTGTTGTAACCACTCAAAAATGTGCTGTGTATTGCGACCATCAATCTTACTTTTCGCTTAGCTTAGGGAATTGAGGTGCAAGAGAAGCCCTCGGAGGGCTTTGAGACAGTTGTTTTCCAAGGTAGTAGACCCGATAAGGTCTCGGGCTGGAAATGGCATAGCTGGCCCAGAATGGCCGTTGCAAGCGATGGGTGCATTTGACACAGCAAAGGCAGTGAATAAATGCCCCGGGAATCAAAAGGGGGAAAGCAGGAGGCGGAGAAAAATACGGGGCCAAACCAGTCTGGCCATCATTATCTGGGATTCGTAAGGCTCATCTTCATCTGTATTGTGTCGTACCGGGTGATGCGAGTTTCAACCCGCCAGGTTTTGCAGGAGTTTTTGACAGCCGCCATATTCCTCTCTGACCAACTCCGGCAGTCCCGAACCGAAATAATTCCGCAGACATCCCGTGCGTACTCTCTTCATATGCGAGAAACCATTACCTCCTCACGACGTCCCCGTCATGGCTGGCAGCCGATGCCGGATTGATGGTGCTTGCTTACTTGACGAATCAGGCAGCGGGCTTGGACGCCTCGGCGGGCTTTGCCTCGGTCTTCGCCTCGGTCTTGTCGCCCTCCTCGCCCTCCAGAGCGGGCATATCGTCGTCGTCCTCGTCGTCGTCCTCTTCCTCCTCGTCCTCGCCGCCCAGTCCGGCACCGCCGCCGAGCTTAGAGAAGTCGATGCCGCCGAAGTCGCCGCCAGCGCCTAGAAAGTTGGTCAGCTTTATATTCTTTATTGCAATATGGTAGTCGCGGTATGAGGACGGCGGAGTGGCGGCCGGATCGAATCGATCAGGTGTGAGGTTGCATCTTTGACTTACCACCCATGCCAGGCAAGCCTCCTGTGAGTGAGACGTGGTGTTAGCTGTGCGGGCTTCAAACAAACGGAGGGGCCGGTGCCAACACCGGGGTTTGCTTACCCATGCCACCGCCGAACTGCGACAGGTCCTCCTCGGCGGCCTCGTTCTGCTCGTCCTCGTCGACCCACTTGTCGAAGTCGGTCCGGAGGAAGTGAACCTTCTTGGCCTCCTTGAGCAGGCGGGGCCAGTAGGCCTCGTTGAGCTCCTTCTTCTGCAGCTTCAGCTCGACATTCTTGCCCGTGTGGTTGACCTTGGTGGCCTTCTCGTCGATCTCGGCGTAGAACTCGAGCTCCAGGTGGTAGGTCTTCTTGAGGGTGTCGGAGTGGCCGGTGAAGGTCAGACCGGAGGGCTTGAGATCGAGCTTGAAGCTCTCCTTGGGCACGTCGGGGACGGTGATGGTCAGGTAGACGAAGTTCTTCTCGGCATCGGTGCTGGAAGAGCGTTGTGCCCAGAGAACTGCAGGATTGGGCGCGAGCGCGTGTCAGCAAGGCAAGATCCGGCTGGGTCACGCAACAGAGCACGCGATGACGCAGGTTGCTGCGCAGTGTGGGAGTGCTGCCTAGCCACAAGGCGGCGGAGCAAGGGGGCTGGAAGTGCTACGGCAGCTGGTGGCAGAGGAGATGGACGAGGGCTAAACTTACCCTCGGGAGTTGCGGTGGTGGCCATTGTGTGTTTTGTTGTGGAATTACAGCGAGTGTCGCAAAGTGAGTATGTGGATTAGGGATCAGGAAGAGTAGCTTGGGGGAAGTTTTGCGGGAGCTGCAGGAGTGGCCCGGCGTTTGTCGTCTGGCTTGTCGTTTGGTTTGTCCAGGATTTTGACGGGTGGGTGGGGACTGATGTCGTTAGGCTGATGGGAGGGGGGAGGGGAGCTCTGATGAGGCAAACGCGGGGTATGGCCCAGATTCAAACGGATCGAATGGAGCAAACGGGCCGTTGGTAGAGATGCAAGTAAAAGGAAGAGTGCAGGATTGTTGGGCTGGATTGACTGCCTGAAGATATTTCAGAGCCAAAACGTGGTGTTGTCGAGAGAATGTTTGCTTTCAGAACTAGGAGCTTTGAGGAACAAGGAAAGGCAGCTTGGGCGTGAGGCTGGGGTGCGCACACCCAGTGACACAATCAGCTCAAGCTCATGGAATTTCTCAGAACCACGGAGATCTGAGGCCCCTGGAGCTACGCATTCTTACACGGCAGGACCCTGGCCCCGGCGCCCCCAAACCCCACACCGCTACGCAGGTCACAGGCATCCGTCTGCCGCCCAGTCACAGATTGAATCATCGTCTCCCAGTCTTTTAGCAGGGCTGTCCCACAGGGCTGGTAGGCCACAGGCGATGAAAGATCTCAGACTGCGCGCCTAGGTAGGTGCGTAAGGCTGGATCACATACCACTCCAACACTTGTAAGCATTTTCTTGTTACTGTAGGTAGTCCAGCTCCTGCACGACACAGTATGCACGGAAACCGAAAGGATTATAATACTAGTTTATCTCACAGAGATATCCGCCAAAAGAACTTGCTACATACCTAGGTAGTGTACTCAGTTCCCTATGTCCATAACGCACCTGCAGTACTCACTGCCTAGGCAGTCAGAGCACAGAACATCAATTCCCGCTCACCTCTTGATTAGACATGAGCATGGACTTCTTCCGCAGTTGGAGGAAGCTCACGTGGCACGCTCACAGTCTGGCATGGATCTGCTGCCAGGTTGAGAACGATGTCATTAACTACACGGTGTTGACAAGACACGAAGGTTCAGAAAGCAAGCTCTAACCTACTCTCGTTTTCTACGTTTGGTGCTTTCATACATGTATTGCCATCTGGCTGCCGCTAATACGTTCCACATTGCAAGAGATACTTAAGTATGAATAGTAGAGGCCCAATGGCTCTATGCCCTATTCTCAATAACCTCTATTGTTTAATTGTGCCAATATTTATGAGTCCAGCGAGTACGAGGCTCCTTTCACCTGGATGGTCACGCGTTTCTTGTCAGCTGCCTCTGGTGTCGAGGACACGCAGGAACATATCTCCTCTCAAATACAGACGGAGGCCTTTAAGCACATCAACGAATTTGAAAAGTCTGTGATCAAACTCAAGAAAGAAGGTCAGATGACATTCGAGTCATACGAAGGCGAGCATGTCGAGGACAACGAGTATGCAGCCGGTCTGCTCCATGCACAGCTTCTTGTGCATAAATTAGCACTGTATTTGAATTATAAAATCATGGATGAGCCGGGCTGTCTCCCACTCTATGAGATAATCCGTTACATTGAGGCCTGTGTGGAAACTCGGTGCCTAGAGTCGTGGCCGGAAGCAAGAGGGAGGGAGATCAAGAGCGACAGCCGCTTGACAGGAGGCCGAAAAGGTGTGCCACGAGATAAAGAACGCCATGTCCCATAAGTACTGAGCTGAGGGCACGCCGAGAGTTATCCGCAGTGCTGACCCAGCCAGCCGAAAAACGTGGCGCGCGACAGTTCCTACTGCAGTGCTGTAGGAATAGCACGCGCACAGAGATTCAATAGAAATGTGGGTGACCGCTCAGCGAAAGTCGGGCTTCTCGTTGCCTGAATGTGTGGCCGCCACTTGATCGGGTTGGGAATCTTCCATCTGTCCGAGATTTGTAAGACTTGTGTGGGTGTCGGAGTGGCGTGGATTTCTGAACAACACCATTCTTGGTTATTATCCTCGCCGATTTCCTTGGGAATGACGGTAGTCGTATGAAGTTGACACGGCTATGCGATGGAGCGCGAGCCAGTCGACCGAGATTCGATTATGGTGAATGAGGGAGCTAGGGAGAATTGTTTTTTTCTTGTTTCCCAACGCTTACGGTTCGGGTACACAAGCACCAACTGCATGATCATCATATTCTCGCCTTAACAGTAGCCCTCAAAGTGTCATTAGCGGAGCACTGACGGAGCCGCTGAAGCCGGTGTTCATAGGTAGTCCTTCACAAGCCGTTGCCCGAGTTTGGCACACGGACGCTCAAATATGTCGATCCAGGGCATTCGGCGGATATTTGACATGATTCCTTCCCACGAGACCGACCTCTGTTCTCTCATGTCGCTGGCTATCATCCTGATCGAGTTTGCGTCGTCTTGATCACTGGGTCCACTGATGCTGCAGAGAACGAGGAGCCAAATGCGGACGGTTTGTAGATCGGGACTGCTGTTCCAGACATCTATCGTATCGAGACTCGATAGCATCATGAGCAACGTTGAGATACGTGCTTGAGCAGTCCCGGGATAAGAGCAACACCTTCGCTTCACCCGTATGATCCAAATAAGGGCCCCAAGACGGAGCGCCTCCGAAACAACGTCACAACGCGCCGTCGGCTCCGATAATCTTGTTGGTTGTTGGTCGAGCAAGTGGTGAGCGACCGGGTTTATCAGCAAACCCATTTGCTCTTCATCATCCCAGATGGCATCACCTTTGGTCGCCAGCTCGACCCGGAGCAGTGTAGCGAGCGCATTCAGGTCACCTATACAGGACATCACGCTCGTGAATCGCACACCTTGCGTGTTCTCATCGTTGATGACGCTGACAAGTGGAGCTGGCAGCATCTCCAAGCCCGGGCGATGGAATACGCTGGCGCTGGCCATGTTTGCGGATAGCGGAAACAGTGGATTTGTGTCGTGCAGCAATGCTGCCGTAATGTCCACCCTGAGTGACTTTTCAGTATTTGTACAACAAATTCCATTTAAAAAGGACGGAATTCGTGTCGCTGAGCCATACCATGAAATCATGAGCATCAGGTCCTGGTTGGCCTGCAAGGTAGAGATGCCACCTCTTGCCGCAATCACCATCCACATGCCCTTGACATGGATCATCGCTTGGTCGAATTCCAGGGTGGTAAACTGACTCAACTTCAGCCTCATGCTTAAGAAACGGCTCGCCATAATTGGAGGCTTACATTGTAGCAGACCAGTGCCAACACGGCGTTGATGACACTTTCAGACGTCGCGCTGCTCGCATTGGAGCTGGCCAGCCTGGACTCGACGCACTGAATAGTTTCGAGGGAGCGCTCCAACGCCAGAGACCGGAGCTCCCTGGCTGATCTCCGGTATAACGGGATAAGAACATCAGGTGAGGTGAAAATCTGTTGGTAGTGCTGAAGGAAGGCCGATTTTCTGAAGGCGAAGGGGAACCAGAAGGTGTTTGTCGAGAAAGCTGTGTCCTAATCTTTAGCAAGGGGTGAATAATCGAATCGACGCAAGGCTTGGGTATCTTCACCGGAGCCCATCGCATTCTTTCCCGCAACCATAATCAGAGTGAATCCATACGCCGAGAAGCAATCCTCTCCCCATTCCCTCTCAAAAGCAGATAATGTATATAAGATAGGCGACATCGCGTATGGTGCAGTGTATGTTGCAGCAGTGTCTGGTGCGACCAAATCCTTCGTAGGAGCTTTTAGATGGTCATCATCTCGACTCGTCGAGTCTTCACCTCTGCGAGTGCTCGGTTGCGTCTTTGAAGTTTCTGCCAGGGGCCATACTAAGGTGACGAATTGGAGGTCCTTCGACGGCTTTCTTCGGGACTTGCCAATGTCGACCATGAGATGGCGACGGATCCTGGAGTCGAGCGACTTGCTGCGGGTTCGACGTGAAGTAGGATTGCCATCACTAGCAGGCAAGAAGAGGAGGCGTCTCTTCTTTGAGGGCTCCTCCATCATCAGCTGTTGTCAAATGCAACTGAACGAGAGACAGAGACAAAGACCAAGTTTCGAATGAAGGGCGTTCAGAAGGCGCCGGAAGTCTGATGCTAGCAAAGGCCATGTGAGAAATTAGCTCAGAAAACGATTTATAATGCCATTGTCGATTGGACACAAGTGTGCCAGAATACTCAAGTAGATCCCTTGGCAAAACTTCCCTCACTGCTACCCATGATCAACAAAATTATTTGCTAAAACTATATACACTTTATACTAAATGAATTTATATAGTAATAGAGATTTAGTTGATTTTACATGATAGTATAGAATTTTTGCCAAGGGACTTACTCTGGCACACTTGTCTTTAATCGACAGCAGCTATTAAGCAAGAGGAATTGGTAAGCTTTCCCAAGCTGGACACCTTAGATATGTGATTTCAAATCAACAGCGCGGGCAAATGCTTGATAATCATACCACCATGATCCGACCGTGACTCGTCAGTAGCCACCATCGCGGCCGTAAGATCTCTCGATCCTTGCCATTTCCGATACACCATTGACCTTTTTCGGCGACTGAACCAAAGATAGTCGTATGCATTCCGTGTAGGGAGCCAACCAGGTGCAAACAGAGTCCGGTTTTCCTAAGCTGCTCTGGAGACACCATGATCCTTTTAAGGCAACGTCAAATCCGAGAGACTTGCGATCGCTTCGCTGTCTAGATGCAGGGCAAGATGGATCGTGACGTATGTATGGTCGCACGGTCGCTCAGCTTGCGAGCTCGATAGAATCATGGGGAAGGGAGTGCGTATAAATATGAAGCAATGCCCGCCCATGAATGAGAAGGGTCAAGACTTGAAAAGTAGAGTTATCACGACTTGCGACCTCATTATTGGCTTCCTTCTGCACGGCCTAAACGCTGCACAGCTTTGGCTCTGTCCACTTCATTGCGCCAACGGCGTACTCACCTTCACCCACCATGAGCACAGAGGAGATGATCACGCTCTACTGTGAAGCCACTCCCAACCCACTCAAGATTTCCATTGCGCTGGAAGAACTGGGCTTGAAGTACAACGTATGATATCCTTGTATCAGCGCTCCAGATCCTGAGAAAAAAGGCAAATAGAGATCGTGAAAACCTGACGCAGTCCGTTTGTAGGTACGCGCAATTAAGCTCTTTGAACACGAGCAGAAAGAGGAGTGGTTCTTAAGCCTTAATCCAAACGGGAAAATCCCAGCCATCGTTGACACGGACGAGAGTGGCCACGACCTCAAGATCTGGGAAAGTGGCGCCATCTTGCAGTATCTCGTGGACCGGTACGACAAGGACCACAAGATCTCGTATCCTCATGGCAGCAAAGAGTACTGGCAGATGACAAGCTGGGTAAATTCCATTATCTTCCCATCCTTAAATGTTGAAGTGAGGACAATCTCTTACCAGGGGCATTCACCAGCTCTTTTGGCAGGTGAGCGGCCTCGGCCCCATGCAAGGCCAGGCAAGCCACTTTGAGAGTATGTCTCCAGATATGCTACAATTGCATCACTGGCCCGTGGTGATGAAGGTAAAGGCGTCACTAACCTGAGATAAACACAGTGTCCGCTGTCGGCGACTATCCATACGCCTTGAACCGCTACGTCAACGAAACGCGCCGTCTCTACCGCACTATGGACAAGGCCCTTGCCGACAATACATCCGGATACCTCGTTGGTGATCACCTTACCATCGCCGACATTGCTATTTGGCCATGGACCACCGCGTACAGTAAATATTTTCCACTAAATGGTGTCCATATGCGAGACACTAACTGATGACGCGTTGCAGAGTACAGTGGCCTATCCCAGATCGACGAGTTCCCTCATGTCAAGGACTGGATGTACAGGCTCCTTGCGCGTCCTGGGTTCGAGAAGGGTCGCCACGTGCCGAGCCCTCATATTTACCTCCAGCTCAACGAGCTGCCGGACGAAGAACTGAAGAAGCTGGGGAGGGAGAGATCGCGTTGGATTCAGGAGGCTATGGAGCGCGATGCTGAATGACCATGCGGCCGTCTGCTCTACGGCTCAGCCTTGACAGGTCACCTACCATAGCCCCCAACCATTCAGGATTCCCCACAATACATGCACTTCTCAGTATCAGTCGTGGTGTTTCCAGCACAGAAGCTCAATTCAATCCAAGTTGCTCATCATGTTCAGGTGGATGCAGACAAAGTTATCGCCTCAGACGCGGCGGACTTTCCTTGAGATGAAATCTTGTTGCAAATCGTGTTGGACAATGATCTTGGCGGCAGTAGTTGATGGTAAAGATTCGAGACACGCAGGTTCACTTGATGAAATGTTAAACAGACGTGTCCTTATTCGCGATTACTAGCATGACCTTTATCGCGGCGGAGCTGTTGCTGGTGCTGTTAATGGCTTTCTTCGCCTTGTGTCATGCACTTGTGCACAGTTCTACCAGGACGATGTCAGGGTGGTCGTTCATGGCGAAGAGGCCTGCCGGGGGCTAGTCCCTCTTAACAAGCTGTGAAACAAGGTCGACAAAGGTAATTTAATGTATCGAAATCATAATATTAATACTGCACCCTTTCTGGTTTGTCGTAGAATGTGCGGTTTTTATCCAAGCCGTGTGGGCTTTCATGATGGCCAAGTTGGCAGAAAAGTTGACAGGTGCCTTCGCCTTCAGGAATGCCACCATCATTGGAGTTTGCAGGAAGTCACGGACCGTGCGATGCAGAAAATGCACGTCCAGCCCGTTGTACTTTTGCACTTCAAGAAGGCCCTTGCACCACCCTCTTAGACATTTTTCAATCATCTTGCAGCGTTTTTCAGCAACCTCCTCGTTTGGTTGAAATATTGGTAAGGTCAAAGCCTAGTTTGGATCTGTGAGTAATCGCTCGCGAAAATAGTAGATGGGTAATTGTAAAGGTAGTGCGGCTATTAGAACGAGTTGAAGTGCTGTTGACATTTTCGTGTGGTAGAAGGGGTCTACTGATTTCAGTATGTTCTGGAAGAATTCGCCCAGACCCGGAGGGAAGCCCTCAACCCTTTGGAAAAGGTCCTCTAGTCTGTCATGATTGCTCATGCTTTCTTGAATCTCCTTAGTAACAAGAAAGACCCAGATGAAAACCCCTTCTGCATGTTGTAGAATCAGGTTGATCAAAGAATCGGCGAGGCAGGTGTTGGCTGCAATACTTGTCCAAGCCCAGTGGCTCAGAAAGCCTGGCATGTGCATATTCGTAGATATCACCCCTTGTAAGCTGATGCATTTTGAGAAGTTCTTGGCCTCCCCCAAATGCGTTTTCAAAGTTGTTCCATGGTCTACTGGATACACAGAGCTTTACCGCATGTCTTGACATCTTGTGCCCAGTTTCTGTATGGTGTTGCATATCTCCACATGATCGCCGGCATACTCGCCAAGGCCATCGACAAAGATGCAGAATCTTGTCGCAAGCTGCGAGAGGCTAGAGATAGACGAGATAGCAGTCAAGAGTTGATCCAGGGTCCAGTGACCCTCTTGGCTCTCAATGTAGTGTCCCGACGGACAGCTGCCCATCTTGCAGGGCAGACATTCTGGATGAGTTCTGTGCATCGTTTAAAAATACCATGCAACAAGGAACGGAAAAGTCCCTGTTGCGGCTACTACATCGATGATCCGGACAACCAGAAATAGTAGCTGTCGATTGCCAACTTTTTATTGCAGGTTCATTCTTACAAAGCCGTGACTGTCTGAGGATCGTCGCAAAGGAACTTCATCAAAGTTGGCTTTCCAGATACAGGCTTACCAGTGATCTAGGAAACACCTTAGCCTTGTCGCAACCACTGAACTAGCCGTTTACCCTCGCTTGACGTATTCGCGGGATGAAATGCCCAAGAGGATGTCTTCTCTCGTGTGCCGGGGTGGTAGACTGGTACCTGTCTAAATGGTGTTCGCAGGACAGATTCCTCAATATTTCTTGTTCCCTGGTCATATCCCGTTCTGAAAATGCTAGCTTAGCCATGAGGTCTCGGACGTCTTCAATGTACCTCAATGGAGGAAGCTCTGGGCTCCTGGTTGAATGTGGTTGGAGTTGTGTGGTGATGATGGTTTTGATGTGTTCCAAGGAAGATGCAGGCGAATTGAACCTGGCATGTTGGTCAAGAGCGAGTGCAGCAGCATTCTGCTGCAGATTTTGTAAAGCTTCCGTGTGACGAATATGGGAATAGCTTGCCGAAGCAGTCAGTGGGATGTTTGGATACAAAAGAGTCTGATATTTTTAGAATTTGGTTACCTGGACATATGGCAGAGGCAGAGTGTGATCTGCCTCTCTGTCTCAGCCAGCCTCTTTTCCAGATGCTTGATCTCACCATCCTTTTGAAGAGCTGTGAATGAAGCCTTGAGGCTCTTGATCCGGCGACCCCGTCCATCTTTGACCCTAAGCTTGCCTACGAAATCCAACAACTTCTCACAGTCGGTTCGCAGGTGCTGGCTAGCATCCTAACAGAATCAATATCTTTTCATATTTCTCAGTCGATTGTGCTGACATCATGATCCACGTCGCTGAAATTCTGTAGCGACGAGCTGAGCATAGCAAGTTCCTGGTAGACCTTCTGGACGTTGAGGGCATTTGGCAGGCCAGCAACAGAGTCGTGTATTTCAAAACTCTTCCTCAGCAATTCTCCAGTAAAGGTGACAAACTGCACCACGGAGGCAGAAAGACCAAACGCCGTCAAAAGATCCAAATCTACAAGAGAACAAGACGGAGTCAATGAAGGTCGATCGATTCTCCAAACGCAGAGTGTGGAGGCAGAGCGTCCAGGTGAAAAGGAGCAAGATGTTCACCCAACTCTGCCGGACTTGAACTGCCTAGTGCTTACTTTGGAGAGTGCCGTCAAGTCTGGCTTTTCTGCCTTGCAGTTCTATATCTACACCAGCCAGACCACCGGGCTACACAACTCGAACGCATTGCTGAAAAAATTGGGAGAACCGCCTTGCAAGCTGAAGGACCTGCAGGGGAAAGCAAGGTTTTGGTGAGTTGCTGCAGGAGTGGC